TGCGACCTTGAAACCTCCTCGTCCTCCCTCGCTGCCCCCTCCTCCCACTGGCACAAACTCCTCCCCCTAGCACGACCTCCTCCTCCCACTGGTGCGACCTGCTCCTTCCCATCCGGCACGACCTCCTGCAACCTCTCGTCCCCATCGTGCGAGCCGCTCCTGCCCCTCCCACGACTTCCTCCTCCCGTTTGCACGACCCACTCCTCCCCCTCACATCGGCCAAGGCATCAGACGCCGTTGGATGCTTTGCAAATCAGAACTATTTTATTGTGGTCGCCGCTGGATTCAAATCACGTCTGCAATTCAACAGTTTCATGGGTGCATCAACTGAACAATATGCCACTCTGCAAAATGAGAAGGAATCTTCTGCCAGGGTATAGGAAGATACACTGCGACGGACCGATACATTGAAAATATATTTGGCTGTTCCCTTCCTCTTTTCTTTGCCTCTTTGCCTCTTTGCCTTTTGGCTGTGTGCAAGTGGGGCGATATGACACACGGGGGTGGGGGGAGCCGCCTCTCAACCTACACCTACGTGGGCGGCCTTGTATGCAAGACGTTTTGAACAGGAGGAGTTGTAAGGAAGAAGACAAAAAATGAATTGATATCTTTATTGTTTCCTTTTTTTTTTTTTTTGGAGAAACATTGCACTTTAGATCGAGGTATTGAAACCGGGCACATTAATACTGTCAACAGAAAGTGGATAATTGAAAATGGCCAAGAGATTGGCCACATATAGAGAGTCGAAGGGGATTCAAGGGAATTCAAGGGAAGGAAGAGGTGGATAACCGCGACCACAGAATATACCATAGTTACCAACCGAACGTCCGGATCCCGATCCGGACAGTCCGGTGTCCGGTGTCTGGTTCGGAGGGTCCGGTTGGGCCCCGATTTTAAAAAATTCGATATTTTTGGGGTTCCCAGGCCGTTTACCTGGGCCTGGGGTACCCCGGAAAAATAATGCTGATGTTTTTTGAGAACCTGTACCCCAACCGGACAGGCCCTGAAAGGGCCCTCTATGTGATAACATTGGCACACGAGTTCACTGCTTTGCTCTTATTTGGATGGAATCTTGGCGCATTTGGGCTCTCTGCTTGGCACATGACTATCTGGACTTCTGCCTGATTTTGCAACTTGATTTTCTGTCTATCTCTCTCGCTCATATTCCTTGCATTTTTGTGACGTGGGAGGAGGGTCTGGCCGATGGGAGGGGTGACCAGGGATGGGAGGGCGATGAAGGATGGGAGGGGCGAGCAGGGATGAGAGGGCGATGAAGGATGGGAGGGCGATGAAGGATGGGAGGGGCGAGCAGGGATGGGAGGACGATGATGCTAGACAGAGAAGAGCGACATTGGATACTGTGTTGGTTGGGCCTGAGGGCGATGACATTGGCACACGAGTTCACTGCTTTGCTCTTATTTGGATGGAATCTTGGTGCATTTGAGC